AGCAGAGGGCGGACTAATTGATGGAGGAGATCAAGTGACCTCCGATTCCAGTGAGAATTGGAGCAATTTGATATGCAAGCTACCAAGGTGTCCAGAACTGTGTTCGGGGGCTCGAATCAACTTTACTTAACAATAAAATGAAACAGCAATGTTATGATTGTTTTTATTTTAAACTTGTTAATCTTCACAAATACTAAAGAAGTTTTTTGCAGTATGTTAAAGATAAGCAACTCATCAACTTTAGGACAAAAAGTTATAAATGGTTTTGATGTTCAAAACTCTCCGCGGGCCGGACAGGAGCAGCTCGCAGACCGTATGTGGCCCTCGGGCCGCACTTTGCCCAGGTCTGCACTATACGGTATTCAATATATCTGTGAGGGTTGCAGAGAAGAGCAACAAAGATGATAAGGGGACTGGAGGCTAAATTCTATGAATAACGATTAAAAGAACTAGGTCTGTTTAGCTTAACGAAGAGGAGACCGACATGAGACCTGAGACCAGTCTTCCAATATCTGAAGGGTTGCCACAGGGAAGAGGGCATTGATTTATTCTCCATTGCGTCTGAGGGTAGGACAGGAACCAATGAGAGGAAACTCCTCAGAGGGCTAGACTAGAAGACCTCCAAGGTCCCTTCTAACCCTACGACGATTCTATGATCTGCGTATTTTGGCATCCACGGCGGGACTTGGAACGAATGCCCTTCAGATACCTTGGTCCTACCACAGTCCTACTGTATATTAAAAACCTGTCCCATATTTACCCTTTCAAAACAGATTTCATCTCTACCTCAATGCCTGAGGCACACCAGATCTTGCAAATCTTAGGGAAGTTGGTTGTTCTGGGTTTTTCAGGCTCTTTGGCCGTGTTCTGAAGGTTGTTCTTCCTAACGTTTCACCAGTCTCTGTGGCCGGCATCTTCAGAGGACAGCACTCTGTGCTCTGGATTGGCAAAACATTAGGAAGAACAACCTACAGAACATGGCCAAAGAGCCCGAAAAACCCACAACAACCATTAGATCCTGGCCATGAAAGCCTTCGCAAACACTTAGGGAAGTTCTTGGCAGTTGGCTCAGTTTCCAGGAAACCAGGTAAAGCTGGAGGCGAGAGTTGAGTCGAGTTGCAATTAGCAATGAGGCTCCGAGAGACATCTAAAATCACCACCACCCCAGCCAAATACAGGGGGTGGGGGGCCCTCGGATCTTTTTCTTCCTCCTCCAATTTCTCTCCTTGCGCGACAGCCTTCCTACCCACCCAACTGCTTGGGGCGGCCTTAGATTTTCCCTTCTCAAACTAAACCGAGAGGAAGGAGGCCTCTTCCCCACCCAGCCCATTCCTTAGCCATCCCATCATATTTTCCACATTTTAATACCGCCCCACAGTGAACAGGTACTCTCTGGGCAGAGTACAAACAGCTAAGGATCTTCCTGAGACATACCAGAGGCAGGGAACGAGTAAACAGAGGGAGCCCTTTTTTTTTTTTTTTGTCAGCTTCGGCTCAGAATTACAGAGATGGGGCTGGAGGAGACTCTTGAGAGCCCCCTGGATTGCAAGGAGATCAAACCTATCCGTTCTGAAGGAAATCAACCCTGAGTGCTCACTGGAAGGACAGATCCTGAAGCTGAGGCTCCGGTACTTTGGCCATCTCACGAGAAGAGAAATATCCTTGGAAAAGACCCTGATGTTGGGAAAGAGCGAAGGCAAGAGGAGACAACAGAGGACGAGATGGTTGGACACTGTCATCGAAGCGACAAACATGAATTTGACCCAACTCCAGGAGGCAGTGGAAGACAAGAGGGCCTGGCGTGCTCTGGTCCATGGGGTCATGACCTGACCTAATGACTAAACAACAAAAATGGGACCTTTGATATTCTGTAGGTCTTCAATTATACGTGGGTTGTTCTTTTAGTTTCTCTAGTATATCTTACTGTATACTTAGACCTGATGCAGTATGTTGAGTCTAAGTTTTTCATGATCCGTTGAGTCTAAGTTTTTCATGATCTATTGAGTCTAGGTTTTTGATAATGGGGGGGCACCATCGCTGGAGGTTTTCAAAAAAAGATTGGACAGCTCTCTGTCCGGGATGGTATGAGGTCTGGGATGGTACGAGGTCTCCTTCCTTGGGCAGGGGTTTGGACTAAAAACCATTGCCCCCAACCTCGGGCCTCCAGATGTTCTTGGAACTACAACTCCTTCAGAAGCCTTCACCACCACCTCTGCTGCCCGGGATTTCTGGGAGTTGAAGTCCAAGAACATCTGGAGGCCCACGGTTGGGAAGCACTGCTCTAGAAGACCTCCAAGGTCCTTTCCAACCCTATGACGATTCTGATTCTTCAGGAGAGTCCTCTGATGTTTTCTTTTCTTTCCCACCTCCTCAAACTAGTATCTATCTGCCTGGAACAATTTCTAGAGAGTTACTGCCCATGCATTTCAACAACAACAACAAAAGAATGGAGGAAATGACATAACATTAAAAGCCCTGTCATGTTAATTCAGTTAACAGATACACATCCACAGCTTGCTTCTTTAACTATAAACTCCAAAAGTCAAAGTATTCCATTTATTTATTACAATTGCATACAGAAGTGGCTAAGCAGTTATTCAGAAGTGGTTCAACCCCTTCGGCAGATTCTACACCTAGAAAACCCAAGGATCATCCTAAATTGGAATGACCTGAAAACACATAATTAATGCCTCCAATACTGGAGATGACATATAGAAGTGGTTTCTAATCTTGGGTCACTCAGGTGTTCTTGGATTGTGCGACTTACAGTTCTATCCTGAAGACACCTATATGTCAGGAACAGGGGGGCTCAAAAGGGGAATAAGCTGGAAGAAGGGGCTAGAAGATCGTTCAGATAGAGCCCTATTTCCCCCCCCCATAGGGCGGGAAATGTTAGCTGCATGGAAACTGGGATGACGAGAATGACTTCATGGTGTTGACACAGCTTCTTTGAGCCAAATCAATCGGCCCATATGGTGATGGATCCATGATGCTTACACCCCCTTGAAAAACTGTTACCCCATGAGCCTGGCATGTGGCTTATACAGAAATATGGCGCCTAAGGCGACACCACCCCCTGAAAACAAGTAAGAGAACCATTTCCACAGGTTTTGGCCCCACCATGAAAGCCACCGAACCCCAAGCGGCTTTTTCGACCCCTGGGGGGAGTTTTCAGGGGTGCTAGATAATCTTTCCAGCAGGTTGCTCGTTTCACAGGCCTCAATTTTTGCCATTTAAAGAATTAATTCAGCTTGCTGGGGGTTGTATTAGTCAAACAGTTTTAGTGAACAATAATAGTCTGCTTCGCATGGGGAAAATCCCTGTACGGAACAAACTGGGTTTGATTCTGTGACTGTTATCATTTTCATCATGAAATGCTGCCGACGTTCTGCTTGAAAATATTTCTTCCTCTCTGAGTTAACAAAAGCCATTCTTTTCTCTGTCTTAAACTCAAACAAATCTTTCTATTATTTACACCTACAAGTGGCCTAGTGCTATTTCCCGTTATGCCTTCCTACCCGCTGGGGTAAAAGAACCACCTTATTTTCAGTGGTGCGTTAGCCACGAAAAGAGGTTTAACCAGATCTAGGCAGCTTATTCCTGTTCTCCTACTCACCCTTCATCTTTCCCTTCATTTCTCCCTGTCTTCATAGGGTCTGGCACTGGATGTGCTCTGAAGCACTACGCTTTCCGATCAGGGCTTGTTTCAGCCAAGTCCTGTAGATAAGGGCCGACAACTTTGTCAGTGGCTGAAGATGAACCAGAAAAGCCCTTCTTAAGGCCCTGTGATCGGTAAGAGAAGCCCCTCAATGGAAAGATAGAAGAAACATATGAGAGTTCTTAGACTTTTTCTCCCCCTTGCTATGTTGTATTAAGAAGCTGGAGGGAGGAGTTGTCTTTTCTTTTACCTGTTCGTTACTCTTGGCTGACTGATAACAGTCTGGACAGCCTATTCGCGATATTCTCAATTTCTGGTCTTGATATACATTGTTTTGACATGGGTGGCTTCGTTGCAACTGGTGCTTCTCTCGACTCGGGCAGGGACGGTTGCAAACAAAATATGCTTTCTCCTTTTTTCACCGAGGCGTCGGGACACCCCTCTGAGATCTAATGATTTTTCTTTGTGAATTAAAAGACTGTGGAAAAATAAAAAAGAAATCATTGCCCCGATTTGTCTTGCACCCTGGGATTGTACTGGGGGGAAATGACATTTAGAACACTGGGGAAAAGTCTGGCCTTTTAAGACTTTTGGATTGAGGAAACTGGTCAAACCTAATCATGGCTCATTCCTTTGAGGGACAGCTGAAAGCACTGGAATTCAATTCTTTTGCTGTTGTAGTTTCTAGCTACCCTTCCCAGGAACCTGGGTGCGTTAAGGTCCTTGGTCAAGTTGCAGGCAGTACCTGATCTGCAATTTGGAGTCTGTTGTCGCTTAAATGGTGGTGAGTGTCATTTTGCTCTTTTAACTCGCCATGCAAGGGCCAGAGAAACAGACTCTTTGGGTGTAGATTTGAAATAGGAAGGTGCTAGGTTTTTTTTACTGGCATTACTCCCTTGGTTTAAAAGGACCTTGACATGACAAAATGCTCAAAGCACTTTTTTTTAAAGAAGAAGGCAAAGTAGATTGGGAAGAATGGTGATGATTTTGGAGGGAGGAGACCTTCCCCTTGCCCCACGTTGGTCCAAACTGAGGC